GCTTCTGTAAAATCTGATTGATTATGCACGGGCCATATTGTGTGTAGTACCCGTAGACGGATTGTTTAGTTTCTTCAGCTTCTGCAACCAGTCGCCCTGAATTTTCTTTGCCACCGGGCCCAGGAGGGTAAGAAAAGATACAGAGAGCGTAGTAGATGATATACAAGCCTGCCGCCACTATAAACCAATTCACAAGCTAGTGGCCGTCCTACGTCCACCTCATTTTAGGACACATCGTTGGTGACGGTCGCACTGACAATTTACTTATACATTTGCCTCCACCGAGGGTTCGAGTGTATTCCAGTGTTCCATGTTGACCCCACTGTCTGTGAATCGTGTTGCGCGCGGAGAATTTCGAAGAATACGTTACAAGCATTCTCGCAGTTCGTTTTTCCGAAGGTCGTTCTATTCTTGTCCACTACCCTCCTAAGCTTGCAGTTATTAGTAATTTTAAGTGGTCCCTCTAAGGATTAAGCCTGAATTTTATATTAACTTTTAAACGTTGCGAAAGAATACCCTTTTAGTGGTGAGAATGTGATTCGCCTTACCTCCTTCTGTAAAGACACCTCTTTTGCCTGTTTCTTTTCTCCTCCTACCTGGAATTATGTTTCATAATAATCGACCTTGGGAGCGAACTCACGCCAGCCTTTTGCTGTTATATCATACTTGAAATTTTTGAACTATGCTTTCACCGAAGGCCCGACTCTACTTCTATATGATATTCACAGAACACTCCTGCGGTTCTACTGTCATCTTTTTCGCAGTTGGCTCGCAATATATTTACTTGAAAAGTAACGTGTTTTTGCATTTTCTGTTTACAAAACGGTTGCATTAGAAGACCGAAACGTTAAGGTTATGCCAGTTCCGCTTGCATTCACAGCAGCCTGCCGCCAGTTCTCCACGCATACTTTCTTGAAAGGATACTCGCTAATTAATTGGTTAATTGGATATCCAATTATATCCCTCGATGGACCTTTAGGAAACCTCCACAAGGCGCGCACGCTTTTTTGTTGCGTCAGATGCCACTTTACCGTCCTTGTCTGCACCAAGCCTCCTCCTCAATTATTCCCTCGCTTTATATTTAGGAAGGACGTGTACATTAGCTCGAAGAGAAGCCTCGCCGCCTCACAGACAGTAGATTCTGGCGGTGGCTTTTTTATGGAGCCCGAAAGGAGTTCCCAGCCCGCGGTACCCGACCTCTATGAGAAGTCTGAGGAGGAAGACGAAGGTGGTGTCGACAATGACGGGGAAGTTGGAAGAAAGCGGCGGCGTCGCCGGCGGCAGCACAAGGGGGTCTTGGCGACAACGGTCGTCGGACCAGTGGACCCCGCTGCCCCCGTACCCGTGGTACCTGTTCCACCTGACGAGAGTCAATCTGTCTGTGATGAATGCGGTAAATCCTTCGCGGAATCCTTCCTCTTAAACAACTTTGACTGCGAAGTCTGTGACGCATGCAAGTGAGTGACTCAGGTCAGGGATTTTTGTGCATTCTTGCCACCTGAGTCATGCAATGTCGTGGTCAACATTTAAGTCAGTAGTTTGGGGCATATTTTTTCTTATTATTTTGACTTTTTAGATGGTTTTTGCTTGAGAAAGCCTTTTTACCAAGGAATGCTGCATTTCTAATATTGTTTATTGATTTGAGCGAGGTCTACGGATATCCAAAGAAGTCCCTCTGCTACTTAATATCACAGAACAAAACCTATTGTTTTTATGAATTTTGCTATAAAATAACATTAATGGGAAGAAGACTCGATCGCTGGGACAGTATTGTCCCAGCGATCGAGTCTTCTTCTTCTTCTTCTTCTTCTTCT